GAAGTGTTATAAGCTTTAATTTAGATTACAAATAATCTAAGTGTATCTCAATTTCATTTTTAAAACTTTAGTTTCTTTCAGATTATTTGCATGAAATATAATTAGAAAATATCTGAATATTATAAGGGGTATATTTGCTGGAATATAGTTTAACATGAATTTAAATAATTTCAATTTAGACCTATTCTTGGAACAAACTTTTAAGATGTTCAGCCTATAAATTAACTCTTTATAATTAGAATGCAATTGATTTTGACTCATGAGATATACTTTTCTGTTTCTTTTTTTTATACCAGATGGGTATGGTATGAATTGTTTTTATGAAAATCATTAAAGAATATCCAAATGTTTGAAATAAATTCATTTTGCATTGCCTACAGTTAATTGAAATTATTGTAAGGGATGCAAAATACTTGCTAGACGTTGATAATTGTTCAGATTTGATTTATATTAAGTTAATTTTTTTTTTTTTTTTTTTTTTTAAATCACAAAAATTTGCTAGTTAATTTTTTCAGATTTAGTAATAAGAAAAAAATTTTCTCTGAAGATTAAAATTTAGGCAAAATAAAGTGAAATTATTTTAAATATGTTTGATCATTGACTCACATCACTTATTGTTACTTAGATTCTGATATTTCTATAAAATGTTAATGGAATTAAGATGTTACACATAATCTGTGCAAGCAAAAAATAGTAAATAGAAAAGTAAATATATTTGAGAATTTAAAATATAAGATTCATTGAATATATGCTGTTCCTGCTTGTTAGCATATGACTTGATATGCATACTACTGTTTACTCAATTATATTTCCTTTGTTACTTTTTTACCAAAATCTGAAAAATTATTTTTTTCTTATAAAAAAACATTTTCCACAAGAGACTAAGGATCATGTAAAAATAATTGAATGCTTAACATAGGTTCTTTTAATTGTTCTTGCTATTGGCTCTGTAGTCTAAGAGCAGATAGCAGCAAACTCTTAATGTTGACTTTTTTTTTTTTTACTTAAAAACACCAACTATTGTTTATAATCCTTTTTTCTTCTAAGGAATTGACACTAACCACTTTAACTTTTGTGCATGTGTGTAAAGGAATATTTGAAATCTCAGATTTCATACAGCACTATGAGAAATATTGCTGGCCTTATATTGTTGACATTTGATATAATATGACAGACATCTTGTTTGGAAAGAAATTTCTTATTTTTGAGAAAAGCCAGCCTTTTGTTTTGTCCTATATCTCAGGCAGCTGCACCTGCTGAAACATATTTCTCTTGTCTTATTGATTGTAGCCTCTGGTTGCTCTTAAAGTTCCATTTGTATTCCAGATTTAAAAAATTCCTTTGCTTTTAAAAAATACTGTATGAATAATAACTTATACAATTGTATTAGAGCTGTGAACATGAGTGTTTACTAAAAGAAAAATGCCTGTTTTTTAATAAAAAAATTCTAGTCACAAAAGAACATTTCAAGTATTTATATTTATCACTAAAAGATTTACTATTACATAATTATTAATGCAAAAAGTGTTGTTCATATCTGTAAATGTTAAGTGTGAGTTATCCTTCTTAATAGTTTGTTTGGAATTTGTCAAAATATGTAGCAGTTTACTTAGATGGCAGTTGTGGCAATGAGTGGTTGGCCAATCAGGGTCAACTTCATTGAATGTAGCTACTTTATATGGAAAGGTAGGAGAGTTGATGGTATACTGACCTCCATGTCAAAATTACAACTGATAGCAGACTTTAGTTTAAGATGCCTTCCAAGAATTTCTTTGCCTATCCTCCCTTCCAATCTCTTGAGCCTGAGGATTATGAAGTTTAGCATAAAAAATTAAATTCTGGGAGTTGGCCACTAATGCCACATCCAAGAAAAGGGGCTATCATAGTATTCTTATTGATTGGAAAAAAAATCAGAAGCCATTTTGGAAATGAATGCTGATGACCTGAAAGTAGATAAAGTGTTGACAAACTTGTATGCGAAGCTTGACTCACTTTTTAAAGATAGTAATCAGGTTGCACTCATTGCATATGACATGTTTGAGAGATATGTGAGACCATCTGATATGCCAGTGGTTGATGACTTCATACAATTTGAGAGAATGACTGTTAAACTAAAGAATCAAAAGCTATCACTTACTGAATCCACTTGGTATAAAGAGCATTGAGAAATTCAAAAACCTAGAACAATAATCTCATTATGATAATAGTTTGAGTTAATATTTGCTGTGGTTGTACAAAAGTGAAAGAAAGTCATGTTGGATACCACTCCTACATCTACTTATGTCTTAAATAATTAAAAAAATCTTCACTGAAGAAAGAGCCAGATATTGCCTATTCTGAGAATGGAAATGTAGCTGATGGTGCCAAGGTTTCCTTGAGTATCACAAAGCAACCAATTATGGCAGTTAGCCAAGACACCATCCTGGTGGTTCTTATATGGTAGAACGAAACAGAAGAGATTCTATACATTATATATATATATATATATATATATATATATATATATATATATATATATATATATATATATATGTTAGTAGAAGTCAAAGTTGAGCTGACAGTAAAGCATTACACTTTATGAATAGTTTTTTTTTTTTTTTAATATCTGATAGATTATACTAGAACTTTTGAATATAGAAACTTGCTTATTCCAACCAATAAAAATAAATATTTATGATCTTCAGAAATGTGTGCTTAATTCCAACTTAAGAATTTGAATAAGAATTAGTTATGTCATTCAAGCATTCATGGAATCTGAAAAATCACATACATAAATTGCATTTTCCGTAAATCTAAAGTTCTAGAAAGTATTAGAAATTGTTATACAGATTTTATTGAAGCATTTATTTGGACTGAATGTTTTTGTTACATTTGAACATGTTAGGTATGAAATAAAGCTTAGAATTTTTTCCCAGTATTAAACTAGCAAAATTAAGATTCAAAATAAAATGTCTTATTTTCTTACCTCAAAATGTATTCACACAATTGAAGTACAAATAGATATTTATATGCACATATTGTCTTACATTTAGAAAACTTACAAAGAATTAAACCAAGAAAAAGCTGATAACTTTACCTGTTGTTTATATTTAATGTAAATTGAGCAAATATAAAGAGAATTTTCTGGATTTTGTCAAATTGTTTTGATTGTTTATTTTTGCATTTATTTAGTCCTTGTGTAAATCTCAATCTGATAAAATGCAAGTTTTGCAAATTCCTAAAAAAACTGCTACTTCATTATTTCTGTTCAAAAGGAAATGCTTGGTACCAGAAAATCAAATTATAAAATAATTAATAAATTTTAGTAAGAAATAAAATAAACCTGCACTTCATTTGAAATTACCTCAATTAAAATGTTGCTTGAACATAAATAACTTGAATTGTTTAATTGCAAATATTTCCTCACAAACACTTTCAGCATTAAAAAAATATATTTAAAAATATTTTACAACTTATCTAAATATTGGTCTCATATTTTTTTCAGTGTACTAACAAACCATATAGTTGCTGATTAACTTTCTTAGCTGTACAAAAGTGCAATTTATTTTTTACTGCTTTATGAAACCAGTTGATAGGTTTCTAACTTGACTATTTTTTTTAATCATTTCAGATGTTTCTTAATTTTCTGAATTTATTAAAATATTAGAAGTTGTATATTCATTTTATGAAATAGTAACACAACTACCTGACTTTTTTTTTTCTTAAATAAGGATCAAAATTTTTTTTTTTTTGTTCAGTGATTTTTAATGATTAACATTTATTGCTACAATGAAACAAAGCAAATGAGTCTTACATTAGGAAGATCTGTTTGAGTCTTACATTCATAATGAATTTTTTTCTTGTAGCATCTGTTCTTGTTTTTCTGATGATAGTGAGATTATATTTTAATTTTAATAGTTTTATGATTCAGTATATGTCAATTTTAAGATCTAATTTCAAGATAATCAGGTATAACAATGAAAAAAGAAGCATGCTAACCTATTTTATGCTGGATTTGTCATTTAGGTTGCTGGAAAAATGTTTTTCATGTTGCATGAAAAATATACAGATGTAAGACATTGAATTAATGTTTAAATCTGAAGTCTAAATCTGAAATCCTTAATATGTTCCATTTAGGCTAATGTGCATGTAATAAAGTAAATATATATGAGTAGATTATTGGCATTAATATAACTTCTTATTTAGTAAATTTGAGATAGTAAATCAAAAAGTATTACACACTTCCTATTTTTTAATAACAAGAATAAAGACATTGATTATAGTTTTTGTAAACTATTTAGCTCTCAAAAAAAAACAAAAACATTGATTATTTTGGTCAAATCAAGAACTGATTTTTGTTTTATTTTCTGAAAAAATATTTGGTCTTTGTAAAATTTAATTAAATGATACTTTTTGAGAATATGTGATGATAAACTTTGTCATTTATTGGTTAGACAAAATTAGTTGTGGTTTGATGTTTCTGAATTATTAACAGAAATTTAAATCAGTCTATATTTCTGAGATGAGGTATTGTAATTATGTACATTATTTACATTGTTCAGACTGTTGTCCTCATCTTTGTTGCCATATTCATGATGTTTTAGCCATTGTACACTCTGGCCTTCTTCAGGTGTGTGGAATTTTGAACTGAACCCTTTATTTCATCCACTGAGGAAGATTGTTCTAGTTCCACATGCCATGCCTCCCCCAAAGGTCTCAGTATCAGTTATCTCCTTTTAACTCAACTCTCCAAGCTTTTTTGTTCATCTCAGCTGTAGACAGGTATTGAACTCACAACTGTTTGGGTCAAGTCATTGGATTCAACCAACGCTTTTATCCACTGGGCCATGTTTCCTAGAGGAGCATGCCATAGCCAAAATGTGAATATGGCAACAAAGATGAGGACAACAGTCTGAACAATGTAAATAATGTAAATTGTTTCTATCATTAAACAAGCTTTTTGTTTACCTGTTGCTCAGATTTTTAATAAATAATCTATATTTTTTTTTTTTTTTTTACAGGGATTTTTTAGATTGTTACAACTTCGTAAATTGAGCTTGAGTGATAATGAAATCGGACGGTTACCTCCTGACATTTCTAATTTCGTTAATCTTATGGAGCTGGATATTAGTAGAAATGGTAAGTATAACAATTGCTTAAAATTTTTTCTTTGATTGTGATCGTTATATCAGTAAGTAGAATTTCTGAAATAAAGTTTTCTCTTAAAATTTATAAGTCGTTGTTTGATATCTTACTAATGAAGGATATGTAATCTGACACTATTGGATATATTTGACATTTCTTCACATAATTTGTTTGTATTTTATTTTTAAAGTATCACAAAATAAATTTAGTACTCTTTTGTAAATAAATTTTAAGACTTGTCAAAATTTTGTTGTGAAAGGGAATTTTAATGTCCTATTGTCATGAGCCTTGACAGGAAAATCTTCTGCTACTCCTTTAAAAGCAGTTACAATGAAACTAATTTGCTTAAATGTTTAATCAACATTTTTTTTGCTATTGTGATTTCAATCAGGATTGTTCTCTTTAATACAATGTTGGCATTAATTAGTTTTGTTGATTTTTTTTTTTTTTTTTCACTATTCAAAATTTCCATTAAAGTTCAGTTTCTATAATTTCTCAAACATTGGTTCCTGGTAATGAAATATCTACTATAGTGTATTCAAGATCGGCTCCAACAGTCTGTTTTGTGCCCTTGAAGAGGATTTTGAATGGTTCACATGAAAAAAATTTTGATTCTCAGAGACTGTGATAAGAATGTAAATAATGTTAATGATAAAATATCTATGGAAATTGATGGATAATGCAAGACATTCTCATCAAGTTTGAGAGATAAGGTATGTGTGTAGGGGGAATTGAATGTCTGAGACAACTGATGTCAAATAAGATGGAAAAACAGTTCATTGCTTTATTCACTTTGAAATTTTATTGTACAGATCTAAAAATTAAAAAACAAAACAAAAACAAGGAATAAAATTTTTTTTTTTTTTTTTTTTTTTTGGTTAAGTGTCTATTTTTAACTAGAATCTAGTTATTCTATTTAATGAGGAACTTTGCGCATATATATATATATATCACAAAGTCAATGCTACTTTGTAATTTCAAACAATGTTATCATTTACGTATTGTCTTATTTTAATTCAATTTAAATTAACAATTTAACTTTAATAAATACATATCATTATGATCATTACTTAGAAAAGTATTAAGATATTTCAATATATCATTTTAAAAAAATTATCATGAATATTTGATAAAAGAAATAGATTGGGGTACTAAATATAGCTGTTTGGTGTTTAAGGAGTGTTCCAGAAATCAGGTCATTGACTTTGAATAGCCAATTAATATATTGTAGAATGAAAAATCCCAGTCAACTTTTGTTGATGACTCCTATTTCATGTCAGATAATCCTGTTAAAAATTATTTGATTCAATATTCAGAAATCTTAACCTTCTAATAAATAATCAGACTATGAATAAGTTCTCCTCTACATGTTTTGAAGGGATCAATTTTTACTAAAATTAAACTAGTGAGAAGACAAATTTTTGATATATTTAAGTTTTCTGATAGTTTATGCTTTGTATGGAAATGAATTAACTTTCTTTGAAGGCTTCATGAATATTTATGTGAGAATAATAAACCATAGCCCTAAAAGTTAATTTAGTTGAAATTTATTTAATGAATAATGCATGGTTCTTAGATTTAAAAATTAATTTAATTTTAAACACTTTTGCTTGTACAAGATGTTATAAATTCCTATTCAGAATTGTTTTATTATTTAATGTTTTAGATAATCATTTTTATAAAATGAAAGATATTGATAGATTAGTACTGTCCAATATATTATTTTATAGTGTACATGATATAAAATCACTAATATTTATTTAGTGTAGACATATCTAGAACATTGCAACATCTAAATCTAAGATAGTAAGTAGTTATATTTGTATTTTAAATATTGTCTGAAAAAAATTAAACTTGCCAACACCAGAACAATTCCTTAACATTTTTTTTGTCTTATTTCCTAAGGAAATAAATGTAACTGTCAGTATTAATCCTGGTTTATTTTACTTTATTTTTAAGAGTGTTAATCTTATCTACTCATAATTTCTACTGATTATATACAGACCAAGTTTACTAAGATCTGAATAAAGCACACTTGCCATTTTTCTTTATTGAACAAAAAAAAAAAAATACTTAGATTATTGAAGTCTATTTTCTTGAATATTGCAACCAAAAAATAGAGTATGTAAATTTGAAGAATTGCTATTCAATTTGTAAAAATGGCATTTCATTGAAGTGGCAGTTAATAACCTAGGAAAAAAATTCTGTGTTTTATACTGTTTAATTGCTCAGTGTTTGAAACAACAGGAAGATTGGTGCAACACAACCATCATTCCCCTATCTCTATGCATGTGCCAGACCAAACTAAGCTTAGCAAATATCTATAATGCTGAGTTGATTTAAAGATTTTGTTTGGATTGTTAATCTTTGAGACAAGTATTCATGTTGGCAACACCTTGACAGTTGTTATCTACTAACCTCTGTTTTACTTTTTTTAAAAAAATATTGACATCTTATAAGTTTAATTATAAAAATTTGTTAATTCACCTCTGCAAGTTTCATAAAATATATTTGTTTAATCACAAAATTTTAAAGAAGAAATAAAAAAAAAATTAATGATTAAAATTGTAAAATGATGCTTGATACTACAATCTAATTCCTTTTAATTGTAAAGTGTCAGCATTTTTTAAAAAAATTACTTTATATTTAGAAAGCTCTAAATTGATTGTTTTTAGCTTTAATATTTTTGGGCTCGAGATATTTTGAATTACTGGATCTCTGTTTTATATTGTGCATACAAAAGAAAAAAATCTTCTTACAAAAGTTTTATTGCTATTCTGGATATCAGCATTGTTAGCCAATTTAAAAATATTTAAAATTTTGCTTTTAGTTCTAGAGGAAAGAGAAAAAAAATTCTATTTTCATTATAGGATAGTTTTTTAGTTGCTGTGGTCCATTTTCATAAGACTGCTGCTGACTCACTTGCAAATGTCTAATGCCAGCTGTTGCCATACAAAAAATCACTTGAATTTGTTTCCTGCTTTTGTGAAGTTGGCAGTTTTAGAGAGAAACATGTAGTTATTCTTTGAGCCATAATGAATATTGTCTTTTGTTCTGCCCTACTGTATTTTATTACTTAAAATCACTCAAATGTCAAGATGAAATCCCATCAGAAATTTGAATATGAAGACTTTCCTGTTCTCATATCTAATTCTTTATTTTTTTGCTAAATATCACTTCAGTAGATACTAAACTGACTTACATGGTATTAAACATTTTTGCTAACATTTTACTATTGGATTATTGAACACAATGAAAATCTTATCTTGAAGTCTGTTGCAAGCATTTGATATGAATGCAACATATCAATGTGATTTCCATTATGTTAATATTGAGCTTATTCATTATTTCTAAATATCTATAGAAGTTAATAGATGTTCAAAAAGTGATCACATTAAGTAGGTATTTTAAGAATGAAGTTCAAATCCATTTGACAAATACATTCAATTCATTTAATAAAATTGCAAAGTCAAATAAAATTTAAATCCGCTTTTATGCACACTATTTACATTATTTGGACTATTGTCCTCATCTTTGTCGCCATATTATAATATAATATGGCGACAAAGATGAGGACAATAGTCCGAATAATGTAAATAGTGTACATAATACTCATCTCAGAAATATAGACAGATAAAGTTTTTATGCATATGTTAAAATTTAAAATCAAATTATTAATAGTATTGCATATTTTTTTTGTTGTTGAAAAAGAATATATTTATGAAACAAGTGGACATTAAAAGATATTTTTCAGTTTTGTTTGATTTTATTTACTTTTGTTTGATTTTATTTACTTTTATTATATAATATGAATTCAATATATGGTTATGCTATTTTGAGCCAAATAAATATTGCAATTTGTTCTAGATTATTTCCAATTTAGATTTATTATTTGATAAATAAAAGGATATCCTTTAAAACCGCTATAGAGTTTTTACTTTTATTTTTCTACCACCACAGTGACAAAAATAATTTGAGCAATTTTAATTTTCAAAACTAAATTTTTAAAAAATAGTCCAGTTTAAATAAAAAATTTAGATTTTGATTGCCTTAAAAAATGAATAATAACTTTGTAAAATAGATATTTATTCTGGATGTAATAAAAATTAATTGCATTATTGCAGCTATGAAGAAGTTTTAGAGAAGATGGAGACTAGGACACATATATTTACAATCAGAAAGTTGAAATTTCTGAGATGCATGAAGAGGGCTTTGTAAATGATACTCACAGGATATATTGAGGGCAGAGGGGAAACAATGAATAACCTTTTGAACAAGCTTGTGTAAATGGATGGCAGAACAGAAAATAGGTGGTTCATTGAAAAGACAAACATTGTGAAGAGCTACAAAGATTAGGAAATTGTGGAGAATCATGATTTACATCATGAAGGGACATTGTACATAGAAGATTACTGCAGCTGTCATTTGGCAGGTAACAAGATTTGAACTCTTATTCTTCCAAAGCTAAGACATGAAAAGCAACGTCTTTCAATATTTTGTCTCTGCACATTCTGTAAAATTTATTGCTTACATTAAAGCAGAATTATAGAAAAAAAAAAGTATAAAAGCTGAAAGACAAATTGATTTTTACCTAGTGTGTGAAAAGGTAAAAAAAATCTTATCTGTTAATAAGCAGAAATTTTTCAAGACAGGTTATTTGGCGATCGTATTTTGTGTCTAAGGGTTAGACACAGCGTCTTGCTATTTGACAGCTATTATCTCTTGGCTAATCTCCAAAGTGTTCCCATTTCCTCTAAAAGAATTTGGTCAGTAAAATTTTTGCTTTATTTTCTTTATCATTGCCACTGATCCTGTGACTGCCGATATTGCTGGTCAAATTTGTGCAGCATTCTTTCAGCTGACAGTTCAATATATGTGAGCATTTTTAACTCTGAGAATAAATTTTGCATAACTTTTTGGCTCTTGTCCAAACTCTTATGCATTATTGAATAACTTGGATATATTTCATGTGTGTGTGTGTGTGTGTGTATATA